AAAAAAAGCAATTGTTGTTTAAGCATGGTTTTTTTAACGTAATTGCAAACGTAATTGCATTTTAAATAAAATTTTCAATGCATTTTTAAACGCATGCAAAAACCATGCTCAAACTAATTACTTTTTTCGTTCCATTGAAGAAGTAACTTTAGCGTGGTTTCTTTTAAAGTTTTTGAAAATGGGTTAAAAATTTTCGTAATTAATTGTTTTTTGTGTTTTTTTTAATAAATAAAAAACGATCAATAGTTAAGTGTTTGGAAAAAAAATTTTGAAAAATTTTAGGCGAAGGCCAACGTGTGCATTAGGAAAAGCAAAGGAACGTGACGTACGTTTTTCTGTCTTTTTTTGTGCAGACGTTCGCACGTTCGTCGATTTTTCGCGCCCTGATAACGAGCATGATTTTTTTATATTTATAAATTTTGGCATTATGAAAGATTTATTTGAGGAGTTCTCACGCTGTTCTGAGTGTAGCTCACCTGTAAAGCTTACACATATAGAAAATAAACGCCAAGGGTTTTCACTTAAATTATGTATAAAATGTAGTTTTTGTTCAGCATGCAGATTTTCGTATACTTCTCCTCAATTCATACCTTTACAAAAAAGTAAACTTGTAAAAAAAGCACATAAAATTAACTATCGCGCAGTTATGGCTTTTCGTGAGATAGGTAAAGGTCATGCCGGTATTGAAACATTTACAACATTAATGAATATGTCATTTTCTATTGCATTTACTTCGTATAAAAAAATTAATGAGCCTCTTTATTAGCATATGAAAAATCTGCTGAAAAAAGTACCCAAAAAGCTGCTCATGAAGTGCGTCAAATGCTTAACATCAATGCGTGTTGCAATAATATTATTGACTGTCATATTTCTATTGAAGGGGCATGGCAGAAAAGGGGTTATTCTTCCCTGAATGGCGTGGTATCTGCAATTTCAAAGGATAATAAAAAGGTCTTAGACTATCACACCATGTTAAAATTATGTAAATCTTGTAAGATTTGGTCAAAAAGAAAAGGATCAGCTGGTTATGACCTATGGAAAACAAGTGTGCAATTAATCATCACGAATCATCGGGTGCTATGGAGTCCGCTGGTGCTATTTCAATTTTTTGTTCTTCATTAAGTAAGTTTAACTTAAGGTACAGTCATTACATAGGAGATGGGGACACGACAGCATACAGCAAAGTTAGAGAAGCAAGACCTTATGGAGAAACATTGATACCAGAAAAACTAGAGTGTCTCGGTCATGTTCAAAAGAGACTTGGAACAAGACTTCGGAATCTACGAGCATTAAAAAAAAAAAGAAAAGTTGCATGACAGTAAAACTCTCTCAGGTAAAGGAAGACTTGCTGATGCAAGTATTAATTTAATGCAGAATTACTTTGGTATGGCTATTCGTCAGAATGATAAACTGTACCCTATAAAAAAAGCTGTACTTGCAGTTTTATGGCATTGCTGTGAAGGTGATGCTGCTATGCGCCATCAATTTTGTCCCTGAACCAATACTAGCTGATGCAAATGGCAAAGGGATTAGATTACAGGCCAATGAACTTATAAAAATAATTAAAACTTACCATTTGTTATTAAAAAACCTATTACATCCAATATTTATGGAACTTAGTTCTGACAATCTTTTGTCAAAATGTTTACACAGCCATACCCAAAATCCTAATGAGTCTTTTAATCATATAATTTGGGAAAAATGCCCCAAAACACATTTTGTTTCAAAAAGGGTTTTAGAGTTAGCTGTTTTCTCAGCAGTTATATCTTTTAATGGAGGTTACGTTTCGCATAAAGAAACATTTCAACAACTTGAATTTCATTGTGGAAAATATTTTCTTCTCGGTGCAATTAAAAAAGAAAAAAATCGCATCATTCATATGGAAAAGAAGGAAAAAGAAGTGACAAAATCAAGGAGGAAAAATTGAGAGGTATAAGAAAAGGATTTAGCAAGGATGACTCTTATGTGTCTGGAAATTTTTAAAGATATATATTGTTAATGTTGTTTTGTTTTGTTATCTTGCGTTTTCTCTGTTAACAGGTTTTTAAACTTTGAACAAGAATATCTTTTGAACTACTAAAATTTTCACAGATTGTTCATCAGGTTACTGTGAAGGAATTTGACCAAAAAGAGAATTTTATAGTTAGCTGTTGTTGAGATATTGACATAGGCAGCACAAATTTTACATAAAAATTAAAAATTATTTTTTAAAGTGCAGCCATTTTGATTCGGTAAAAGTTCTGATGGTGATTCTGGTCAAATCCCTCAATCAACATGTTGTTAACCTTTTCGCAGAATTTTAGCCTCAAACTCTTACTATTTTATGAGAAACCCTTGTTTGAAAATGGAGTTAAAATTGCATATTTTTTGCTGACTCAGCATGTTTTTGAGTATAATTATACTTTTTATTATATTTACTCTAAAAGTTTTTAAAATACACACAGTTTTAAAAAAATTTTGCATCAAAATTAAATAAATTGACTGTTTTAATTTTTATGGGCTAGTACCACCTTAATAATCAATTAAAACTTAAGTTACGTCTACTATTATAGGGACCCAGCTAACACAAAACGTCAAGAACGTTCGACAAACGTTGTAAACGTTGGAGTACGTTCTATGAACGTTCATAAGACGTTCTTGAACGCTCGCAACGTTTGTTGAACGTTTTGTGTTAGCTGGGAACTATAACTTTGCAAACTTTTTTAATAAAAAAACTGTTCAGGTATTTATTAGCTATTATTATTTTATGATATATTTTTGTACCATTGACTAAATTTTATTTAGCTAAATACTTTTTGCGTTATTTTTATTGTCATTTCCATGTATGTATTATCAATTTAATATATTTTTTAGCAAATAAAATATTAAAGTTTTTTAACGGTTTTTATTTTTATTTTAAATATGTTTTTGTATGTTTCCTTTTTGTTAGTTTTATCTTTAATTAACAGCCTTGAAATTTCTAAGTTTTTAGACATCCGATCGCAATAAAAATTGATGCACTTTTGATGACTCAAATTTCATATAAATTTAAGCAATAATGTGAAAAACGAGTGACGATAGAAACAAAAAAGGGTGACGGAGACATGCTATCCCATTTATTAAAAAAGGTTTTTGTTATTTTATCAGACATGACATAAGATATTTATCAGACAAGACATGAGATAAAATATAAAAAGAAAGACTGATTATATCAAATATATCTGATGCCAGACAAACATATTAGATATATCTGATTATATTAACTATAATTTATATTTTGGTATTATATTTTAGATTATATTTCGGCATATTAACTACTAATATTATAATAAACTGAAATCACTTTTTTAATACAATGTTAAAACATTTAGTAACGGAAAAATTCAAAAACGAGTAACACTAAATATACTAATAAAAATAACTATAAATATAAAAATAACTCCTATACTAAATCCTTAAAATTATGATGAAAGACTGATTAGGTAGAGTTTCCAAACACTAGAGTTAAGACGTTGTCTAGGCAACCTTAATATTAGAGATATATTTTACAGTTATTGTATCTGAAAAAGGGTGTTAAACAAGAAACATGGTGTTAGAGGTGATCTTAGTAAATTTCATAACATAGCAACGTGCTTTGACAAGATAATTTGGTATAAAAAATTTCATAAACTTTTTTTCACGTGATTGTTTTTATATTCCAGTTGCATTATTTTTGTTACTTAACTCTTTTGCCATTCGTTAATAATTTCAGGACAAAATATTTGATAACACGGGTATTTATAGCCTAAAATGCTTCAAAAAAGAAAAGTACATCTTTTTAATTTATAATAGAAAAGTAACACAAGTTTTATATATTATTGTATTATGTATTATCATGTCTTATGTATTATGAGTGTTTGTTGTTCTTTAATTTAATTTAAAAATGTGTAAAATAATTATTTTTGTATCACATAGCTCTAGTCGCTTACCATGTCTACGCGCCAGATGATAAGAACTTAATTCTACATACTTTTTAAATAATAATTACTTTTATTTCTAACAATGAAATATATATATAAAATACATAAACTATATAAGTGAATTACTTTTCACCATTTCTAGTTAAAAAAAAAGTTTTAGAGTAAAAATTTAATTATTTTTTTTTAGCAGCTTTTTTAAAAGTTGACTTTTTGTTTCTTGATATTCTTTTTCTGTAAGACAATTGTTTGTCCTAGAAACAAAGAAATATGCCACTAAGCAGGGCTGTCCAAATGAGATGTCGAAAATGAAAGTGGTGTAGGGGGGGGGGGGGGGCGAGGTGGTATTTATGTTTCTGTTTTTTGCCTAGTAACGCCTAGACAATTCCTAGAAATAGAAAAAAGAAAAAGGTTCTCGTTGGCATACAATTATCGACTGCCAAATTTGCTAAATCAGGTGTCCAAATTTGCCGACAAATAAATTTTCGAGAGGGTTAGACACTCCTCGGGAACTGCCAGTAAACTTTGAAGCTTTTGTTTTTGAGACATCTTTTCAACAAAGTATATTATCATGAACACGAGAAGCTTAGCTTATAAAATGTTTTATCATTCAGCCAAATTATAATTATAAAAGAAAATATTTAGATAAAGATGACGTTTCTGGAAAGTTTATTAACGAATTTTGAACAACTTTTACCATAGGTAATGCTGGAAAATTTCTAGTAGAGAGGAGTTTAGTTGCTACAGTTGACTTATATGATTTATATATACAGAGGGAGGCGCAATAAGGGCATGCGTGCCCCGGGCGCCAAGATAATAGGGGCGCCAGAATACGAAAGACTAATTAAAAATATAATGAGATTTTAAAACAAATTTGACAAAAGACATAAAAAATCATAATCGGATTTTAATAGTAAAAAAATTGTTTTTGATGAGGATGAGGTAATGAAATTTACTTGGTGATGCGCATATTAACTTAATTTGTTTATATTACCAAAGAGTTTATATTACCAAAGAGTTAAGTTTTAAAGAATTAATTTCATTAACAAATTATTAAAGTAAAAAGTTATTTAAAACTATAATATAACCATCAGAATTTGTCACAGAGAACCGCTGTTGAAGAAATTAGAAGGTCGTTAAAAACCAATTTAAACAAAAGGCGCCGTTACAATTTCTCACTAAACTTAGCATATAATTTAAAAAAATGGTCTGTTTAAAACCCCAACTAATCAAAGGTTACCTAAAAAATTAGCATATTTTTTAAACAATTTGTTACAAACCGTCGAAAGAGCATCAGCGCAGGACGTAATTGGTTTACCTACAGTAAACTCTTTTAAAAGTATTTTTCTGACACAACTTTGACTGCAGGAATGTCAATCGTCAGCATATAAAAGGTGTTAATTTCTTTCATCAATACTAAAATTTTTATGTATTAGTTTTATTGATTATTGTAATAAATAAATAAAAAACTAAGATCTTTATGTTTTCCGTTAGACCGAGGATCTTACTTAACAGACACCAGACAATCAGCTCAGATTGCTGCTATAAAATTAATTGTAAAACGATCACAGGAAATTGTTGCATCCTAAAGCCATTGTTTTAGCTTCAACCAAAATATTTCCCCATGATGAACAGATGACTGGTCTTGGCAATAAAAGAGTATTTTTTGTAAATTTTGTAAAGCGAATAATTTTAGCAAAATTGCAATGAACCTGAATATGCAATTTTTTTTTGTGAGTTCCCCAAACATAAAATCGAAGTAAATACCTTTAACGTTGCGCTTTTCCAATTTATTCAACAAATTTATTTAAAAATTAGGATTGTAAAAATTTTTTGTGAAGATTCTCATTAATCTGTTTAAAAGATCAAAAACCGGTAAAGTGTAAAGCTTAAAATATAATACAACTTTATAGAAGATATTTCGCTTCTTAATAGTTTGAAGTAGTCTTTATTTTTTATACCAGCATCTGTTGCAAAAAGTGAACGACCTTTAAGTAATAAATTTTGATTTGATTTAAAAAACATGATTGTTGGCCCACTTTAAAATCAGAGATTTAAGAACGTCTATCGGATATACATTTTGAAAATGAATTGGACACAACTCGGTTGTAAGATAACATAATAATAATAACAATTTTTGCTTGTAAAAAAGCATTAAAAAAAAGAGTGTTTCCAACATTAATTTCGAAGAATCTGTTTATCAATCGTAATCAGTGAATGTGTTGTAATAGTGTTAAAACACAGTTATTAACTTGTATAATTGAACTTGCTTTAATTTAAAAAAATGCTTGCTTGTAGGGGCGCCTAATTGCAACTATGCCCCGGGCGTCATAAAAACTCTCGGCGGCCCTGTATATATATATATATATATATATATATATATATATATATATATATCATCCCGCCTAATCATAGCAGGATGGTTTATAATTTATAAAAAGGTGACGGGATGGCATCCCGCCTCACTTCGAGCACTATATATATACATATTTATATATATATATATATATATATATATATATATATATATATATATATATATATATATATATATATATATATATATATATATTATATTTATATATACATGTATAGTTTAGTATTGATGAAAGAAATTAACACTTTTTATATGCTGACGATTGACATTCCTGCAGTCAAAGTTGTGTCAGAAAAATAAAGAGTTTACTGTAGGCAAACCTGCGCTGATGCTGTTTCGACGGTTTGTAACAAATTTTTCATAAAAAGTGCAAATTTTTGCGTAACCTTTGATTAGTTGGATTTAAACAGGCCATTTTTTAAAATTATATGCTAAGTTTAGTGAGATATTGTAACGGCGCCTTTTGTTTAAATTGGTTTTTAACGACCTTCTAATTTCTTCAACAGCGGTTCTCTGTGACAAATTCTGATGGCTATATTATAGTTTTAAATAACTTTTTACTTTAATAATTTGTTAATGAAATTAATTATTCAAAACTTAACTCTTTGGTAATATAAACTCTTTGGTAATATAAACAAATTAAGTTAATATGCGCATCACCAAGTAAATTTCATTACCTCATCCTCGTCAAAAACAATTTTTTTACTATTAAAATCCGATTATGATTTTTTATGTCTTTTGTCAAATTTGTTTTAAAATCTCATTATATTTTTAATTAGTCTTTCGTATTCTGGCGCCCCTATTATCTTGGCGCCCGGGGCACGCATGCCCCTTTTGCGCCTCCCTCACGGAGGCCCTGTATATATAAATCATATAAGTCAACTGTAGCAACTAAACTCCTCTCTACTAGAAACTTACCAGCATTACCTATGGTAAAAGTTATTCAAAATTCGTTAATAAACTTTTCAGAAACGTCATCTTTATATTGGCATATTTCTTTGTTTCTAGGACAAACAATTGTCTTGCAGAAAAAGAATATCAAGAAACAAAAAGTCAACTTTTAAAAAAGCTACTAAAAAAAATTAATTAAATTTTTACTACATATATATATATATATATATATATATATATATATATATATATATATATATATATATATATATATATATATATATATATATATATATATATATATATATATATATATATATATATATATATATTAGGGTGTTTCAAAAAAAGGTCATGTCTCAAAAAAAAAAAGAGTCCTAGCTTATTATCCGCCTAAACCATGATTAAGCACTAAAAATTTTTTTTTTTCAAATTTTGAAAATCCTAAGGGTCTCTTCAGGGGGTAAAAAGGGAAATTTTTAGGGCGTTTTGTTCTATTTTTAAAACTGTTTGTAGAAAATCTTAACATTAAAGTTTTTGATTTTTTTTATATTTGTGTTTGTTAAGACTTATTTAATCTAAATAAAATGGGCACTACTCTCAAAAAAAGAAAATAATTTCAAAAAACCCTAAAATGCATAAATAATTATCAAATAAAAATATTTTTACAATGTACATTTTTTAGATATTCTTAAAAATAAAGTTTCAAGTTTTTTCAGTCAATATGTTCTATTGAAATATATTTTATATTAATTTTTTTTAAATTATATACTTAAATATTTAATAAAATGCCACCGAAAAAAAAGTTAGAAGTATTTTATTAGATAAAATATTTGTAGTTAAAAACTTAATCGAAAAACTTCCAGTAAAAAATTTGCAACTGCTAAAGAAATAATTCAATATTATCTTTTTCTAAGAAAATCAAAGCGTGAAGAAAAAGTAAAGTTCTTAGTAGGTTGTCTAACAGAATTTCCTCTTTTATACCTAATTGTCCAGTTGATCAGTCTGACTGCTGCATACTGTCTAAACTAATGGTTCCTTTAATACTCGGTGGATTTAGAGTGCTTAAAATACAAGAGCTAAAGTAATATTTTCAATAAGTTCTAAATTATTATAGTTTGCTTCATTATTATGCTGTTAAACAATATTTTTACAGGACTAAAATTGAGAAGTTGTTGAAAGAGTAGATGAAATTAAAAGATCAAAGATACAGAACAAATCATGCTAAAAAAAGCATTTGTTTGAAGAGCAAATGAATAAAGTATTTTGAATTGTACTTCTTCAAACATATTCTCATGTTATGTTTGAAGAAATATTAAAAGATAAAATGAGGAATGAAACACAATAAGGAAGATACTGCTTTCTTAAAAGACCAGCCTAATAAAAGAAAAGGATGTATCGGAGGTAGCGATAAAAGATATACGTCTTCTGTAATAAGAAAAAAAAATGCACACCAAACTTAAATAGAAATCCATCAGCAGAATTATATAAGAATAATTTAGATTATCAAAGTTCTACTAGTTACACTAGCGACAAATTAGGCGAGGAAACAGATGTCGACTTGGATTTTAATGTGCATCTTAATGTTCAAAATTCTGTTCTTCTTCCTAAAAATATTCTTCATTCAACCGCTCATACAGCAGTGGGAGAAGGTATAACACCCTACCAACACAGCATTGATTACTAGTGTTACGTCATGGCTGGTGGTTCTGTAGCAAAATTTAATTGTTCTAAATCCACATCTTATAGAGCTGCAAAAAATATAATATCTGTCAGCGCTAAAAAAATAAAAGAATACATAAAAAATATTGTTCTATCATCAGATTCACTTGACTATACACTTTGATGGAAAAATAGTTAATGAATTAACAAAGGAAAACCAATTTAAAAAAGATTGAATTGCGGGTTTGGTAAAGATTGACGCGAAAACAGAACTACTTGGCATTCCTCCAATAGATTCTAGTTCAGGGGTAAATCAAAAGCAAGCTATTATAAAATTGATGGAGTTTTTTGGATTAAAAGATAAGGTTAAATGTCTCTGTTTTGACACAACTTCAGCAAATACAGGAAGATGGTAAGGTACTTGCATGAGATTAATTCAAAAAGTTCAACGTCCATTGTTGTTGATTGCATGTAGGCATCATGTAATTGAACAACCCATAGCCCATTTCTGAAAGATTTACCCAAGTAGCCAAACTTCTGGTCCAGAAAACAAACTATTTGTTCTAAAACAAAACTGGAATTGTTTAGGTGCTGAAACTAAGGAACTGAAAAGAATAATAATACCACCTGGAACATGAATATATAATCAAAAACTAGCTTCTGTTCAATTTTGCCACAATGTGATCAGTTTAAATATTTTCAAAAAGGTTATATTTTTATTTTTATTCATTTTATTTCTATTTATGCTAATTTTTAAAAAGTAACATTTATTATAAATTTATAATATATACAAAACCTTTTAGGACAGAAATATAATAAAATAATAGCATGAGCTAGCTGAACTTACCATAATGGTTCTATCATCAAATTGGTTTAACTTTCACTTACCGGGACCAGTTCATCATTTAATATTTATGGGAAAAGGTTTATACTTCTTAAAATTGTATCTTTTAATGAATGAAATCCGAAATCTGACTGACAGACATAAAAAAGAATAAACTGATATGGCTTTATTCATTTGTCTTTTCTATACAGAATGGTTTCTAAAAGCAGAGTTAACTTCTTTGGCACCAACACAGGTATCAATCTTTTAGTGTTTTTTTAGAGTTAGAAAGCTTATTATTATTAAAACTTGTAAAACATATTAGATCAGAAATAAGCCTTATAAACAAATTGGCATTTGTTTTATTAGTTTTATATTACTCATATACACAATATTTAAATTTGGATTGATGTAATTCTAACTTAGATTTACAAAGGTAAATTTTATATATATTTATATATTATTATTATATAAGTTATTTAACTTATAATAACTTATATATGTAAATTTTATTGGTCTATAAACAATAATAATAAAATTGTAAAGTGTAACTTTGTAAATATATTATTAAACTTAGAAAGTTAGGAAACTTATTATTGATTAAAGTAATTCAAAATGTTAAACAATATTCTTTATTAGGATATGAAAACTTAATCGCAAACAAAATAGTTTGAGGAGTGGAATCTACTTGGCTCTCAAGCTGTTGCAAGCTTTATTCTCAGACATACTATCTAAAACCCACTTTAGTAGTTTTTGCCCTAGCAGATAAAGAATGTAGGGAACGTGGTGATATGGCCAAAAAACTGTATAGTTTACAAAGATATCCAAATGATATCTCCAGGTAATAGACCAAGCTATATTAAACAGCCTCAACTTCAGTAAAGACGAGCATCCTTGATTGACTCCATTAATAACAGAAAAGTTGTGGCTAGTTTTTGACATGCTTAAGCATGGAAAGGTAGAA